TATCCCTTGTGTGTGTTGCATACACATAGGGTAATTTATTTATATTGTAAGATATGGACCAATGCCCTTAATACATAATAGACTAAGCCCAAATATCAGAAACACACATCTTAACATCTAACATATTCTATCAAGATATTTCAGGAAGTTTTAGAGTTTTTTCCTATTGGTTTTAGTTTTGAATATTGGTTGTATCTTGGTTTTATTAATAGCATGTCAATCCCACAATCTCAAAGATTTGTTTCCTAAATTATCCAATCAATGTATGTGTGTGTGTATATATATATATCATATATACACAATGAGATTAGATAAGAGAAATTATTTTCTTCTAAGTGAGATATGCACATGATTTCAGCTCAACGACTCTATTTTCTTTAGTTTAACGGTTGTCAACTTGCCATTACTATTTTTGTTTTCATTCATCAACGCATATTGCCTACACATTAGAATAGTATCAAATTTAATCCTTTAATAAGCATCATTCATAAAGAGGACAACTTCCACTCTTTGTTCGTTAAGAGACAACACTAGTAAATCTTACACATACTTCTATGCTCATATTTAGGCTATATTATATTAGATTTCATAATTTTTTAAAGGCTAGGGTGTTACTGAAACAAATCAGCAAATTATCAAAGCGTACCAAAATTGTATACATATCTGATACATAGGACTGATCAATTCAAAGTATTAATGTTTTATAGAATAGAAGACTTTTATGTACTCTTCTATACATCTCACTAAAAATGTCAACCATTACAATACAAAATCAGAAAAGTTCAATCCATATGTACCTTCCTTTTACAGAGAGACTCATCAACATTACTAATAAAAAAAGACAGAAAAATTCATATAGACTACTGAACTTATTAATTGTAATTATTTCCAAAAGAACATTATATTGACTAGAGTAAGAAAGAATCAAACTCACTTGGAGGTTTCTCCTGCATACAGAAAGACCACCCCCTGCAACCAGAAGTGATTGCACTGCACCACTAAGCTGCTCCTCCTGCTTGCTAGCATTCTCCTTAGCAAGCCTAGAACGTATAGACATATTTTCCATCATCACTTTCTTTGATTCTAGTCTCTGATGCATCTCCTCAAGTTCATTCAACCGACCTAATGATTCACCATTGGCCTGTTCACAAAATTATTGCTCATCAATAGGAAGACTCATTAATATTGTTGGTCATGTGTCTTAAGGTATTTGAATTCTTGATTCAGGAGCAACTGATCATATGACACCTTTTCGTGTGTCCTTCGACTCATATGATAAAACAAATAGAGAACAACTTATTACAGTTGTGAATGGTCAGGGTATACCTATATACGGCTCTGGGAATATAATTTTCGACTCATCTATTGTATTAAAGGATGTTTTACATGTTCCACAATTAGCCAATAGTCCTATCTTTATGCAAAAAGTCAAAGGATTTAAATTGTTCACTAACATTTTTCTCAACTTATTTTATTTTTTAGGACCTTGCCACGAGGAAAACGATTTTAAGTGCTAAGAAGAAAAGTGGGTTGTATCTGTTGGATTCTGATGACCAAAGCAAAAAAAAAAATCACGAGTCAACAAGCTACATCTCAGACGTGGGCAAATTCCAAAATATGGTTACATCATAAAAGGCTTGGACATCTTATTCTATTAGTAATAAAAAGAGTACTTCTCCATTTGATTTAATTCATTCTGACGTTTGGGGACCTGTCGTAGAATTTATTTCCAAAGCCAAATGATTCATTACCTTTATTGGCGATTGTACCCGTATCACTAGACATACCTTATGAGAAATAAATCAAAAGTTTTCCAAATCTTTATTAATTTTTTCCATCTTGTTCAAAATCAATTTGGAAATATTATCAAAAGAATCAAGCCTGATAATGGTATTGAACATGTGAATCATGAATTTTTCAATTTTTTGTCTCATGGTATTGTTCATGAACTAACATGTGTAAACACCCCACAATAAAACAAGGTTGCAAAAAGAAAGAATTGTCTTCTTCTTGAAGTAACTAGAGCTTTTCTTTTTCAAATGTTTGTTCCAAAAAATTCCTGGAGAGAAGTTATGTTAACTGCCACATATCTCATCAACAGGTTACCCACCCGTATCTTAAATGGCATTAGTCCTATAGAGTCTCTATTGTCTTTTGTTCCTTCTTCCCCCTAATAACGAGTCTACCTAGTCACGTCTTTGGATGTATTGTTTTTGTTCACTCTCATCATCCTAACTGTAGTAAATTAGATCTCATATATCTTAAATGTGTCTTTATTGGGTATACTTCTAATAAAAAAGGGTACAAATGTTATCATCCTCAGAGTCGTCGCGTCTTTATCACCATGGATGTCACCTTTCATGAAACACAATCCTTTTATGCCAGTCCACCACTTCAGGGGGAGAAAGCACTTGAAATGGATGAACTCTCCTGCTTGTCATTACCAAATTTGTCTTTGTAGGATGCCCAAGATCTGAGCAATGAAGCTACCATAGTTCACAATGAGGAAGAAGATAATTTTTTTTGCAAAAAATATAAAAGAAGAAAACAACCCACTTCGACTCTCGAGCAAGAAAAAATGTCTAATCCAGAGGTGAGGATCCTTGAAGATAACAATGAGGAGGTAAGTATTAATGAGGATTTACCCATTGTATTGAGAAAGGAAAGAAGATCATGTGCTAAATATCCTATTTCTCAGTATGTTTGCACTAACAATATCTCTAACAACCACAAAAGCTTTATTGCATCTATTGATGCCACAAAAATTCCTACCTCAATCCAGAAGGCCATGAGACTTGAACATTGGAATCAAGCCATGAAAGAAGAGATGAATGCATTAGAAAAAATTTCAACTTGGAAAATTGTTGATAAGCCAAGAGACAAGAAGGCAGTAAGGTGTAGATGGATATTAACGATGACACATAAGTTAGATGGGACAATAGAAAGATACAAAGCTAGATTGGTGGCAAAAGCATATACCTAAATTTATGGGATTGACTATGAGGAGACGTTTGCCATAGTGGCAAAGATGAATACAATTCGAGTTGTTTTTTCTTTGGCTACTCATTTTAGATGGGACTTACACCAGTTGGTTGTGAAGAATATATTTCTTCATGGAAATCTAGAAGAGGAAGTGTATGGAAGATTTACAAAAGCAATGGTTTCCTTGGGATACAGACAAAGCCAAGAAAATCAAACTCTATTCATAAAACACTCTTCTACTAGTAAACTCACTTTATTGCTTGTTTATGTGGATGATATGATTATTGCAAGAGATGATGAAACAAAAAAATTGGCATTAAAAGAAAAATTGGCAGCCCAATTTGAAATGAAAGACCTAGGAAAACTTCAATATTTTCTTGGAATAGAGGTTGCTTACTCCAAGAATGGAATTTTCATCTCCCAAAGGAGATATGTACTTGATCTCCTCAAAGAAACAGGAAAGTTGGGATGTAGAACCTCAACAATTCCTATAGAACAGAATCACAAAATTGGAAGTGAAGAAAGTGCTCCTATAGAGAAGGCCCAATATTCGAGATTGGTAGGAAAATTGATTTATCTATCACACACAAGACCATACATTGCTTATGTAGTTAGTGTAGTGAGCCAATTTATGCATGATCCAAGAGAGAGACACATGCAAGCACATAATTTTACAAAAGGGCTCCCTCCGAGTAGATTTCAAGATCTTGTAGGCAAGTTGGGTGGTAACGCATTGGTGAGCTCTAGGCCAAGAGACCATCCTCCTTTGACTTGAACAGAGTAGAGAACACAAAATGGTGAGCCAAAGTTCCACAGATTATGAGTATGCCTATACTTCAACAAAGTGCCATGGGTTGGATGGTAATGTAACTGCGAGCTTTAGGTTAGATGGTTTGTTTATGTCAAATAGAGAAGAGACTAACGAAAGTAGTGAGATAATTAACCATTGAAAGGAGTGAGAGTGGGAAATAGTATTGTGTTATGATCAAATACAAGGGGGAGAGGACGCAAAATTAGCATGAACTGCTACTATGCTTTCAAGGGCATTCTAAGTTGGAAATTGGGAATCAAGCATTTCCTTTGGTTCAAATATCATGGACTAATCATATTGAGCACGGTCATGATATGCAATACAAAATGTCATGCACAACAACAATTGTACACCTACTCAGACCTATTCATTAATGGAAAGTCCTCCCATTCATTAATGGACTTGAGATAAATAAAATAGACTATATTTGAGAGAGTTTGATCACACCTCTCAAATTTTCATATTTATATTGATAGAATTTTGATACTAGGGAAGAGCAAATATCGAAAGCCAGAACTAGACTCCGAGTACAGATATAATACAGCCCATAGGTACAACATATAGCAATTTTTTCAATATAACTATTTACTAACTATATTTATTAGGCATTATAACCAACAGAACTAATTATTGATAGAGAAATCAAGCCAACAAAGGTTGATTTAGGAACTAAAGATTAAAGCACCATGTTTGTAAGGCTTAGGTTCAACCTCACCCAAAGAATAAAGCAATGAGCGATCTATATTCAAAATTTGTCTCTCCCTCATTTCGCCAATAATTATAAATTAAACCCATAATATATAAATTAAACCAAAAATATGATTTCATTTCCCACTGGAGCTCAGATTCTTCAGGAGACAAAACACGCTTACCCTCCAGCCACAAAATTTCACCTCCGTTACCTTACCATTTTCACTTATTACAGTAAAGACCTCAGCAGCACAAGCACAACACAACTTCCAAATTTCAAGAAACTTAGGGTAACAACATGACAACCCATTAAAACCGATTTCAGAAATTAGCAATGACTAAACCGATACCAAAACCTAAACATAAAACCCTAAAGCCCTACCTGGATGAGAGACTCCAGCTTGCGGTGAAGGTCGCGCTTCTTCTCCTTGGATTCGCCCAGTGCTGAAGAGAGACTCGCCAACCTCGCGAGATCGTTCTGGAAGTCCTCCCACTGAATGACCTTCAAATGTTCGGGATCAGTTGTAGTGGTCCGCAATGACAGAATCTGGTTTGGCTCCATGAACTCATCATCGTCATCGAGTGCTTTTATCACCAAACGTAGTCCATCATTCCTCTTGGATTCTTCAGTTCCTGATTTTCTCGGAAGAGAAAAAGGAAAAGTTGGGTCGTGGTCTTCTTGGATAATGGATGTTGGTGAGAATTTTTTTATTTCTTTGGGATTAATCTTTTAATTGTGATTTTTTGGGATATTCAAAAAGAAATTACAGGAACAATAAGTTGCATGTTGAACTGAGTGTATCTAGATAATATAGGTTTAATTTCGATAAAATTTGTAATAACAAATTATGAAAAAGAAATAAAATCAACCAAAACATTCCTAATTTCTGAAAGAAAAAAAGTGATGAAAAACTTGCAAACAGTTATAGATGCATAAGTTGATTTTAATTTATGAGTTAGTTAATGAACTTATCCAAATTTATCATAATAATCTATTATTTTTCTGATTAAGTTTAAGCTTAATATTTATTTGATTAATTGAGAAAAATAACTCTTTTATCAAAGCCGTAGAAGAGTGAAACGTGTTTGACGCGAGATGTAATGAAATCAACTAACATACGTGAAACATTATTGGTATTTATATTTTATTTTCTCTTATGTCGGGTTAATTAAAGAATTAATATTATTTATTTGGTTAACTAGGAAAAACTATTCTTTTAACTTGTATAATTCTCTTTATTAAAGTGATGAAATGTGTAACATCCCAAAATACAGTAATCACCATATAATAGAATTAATTACATTAAACAGTTAAACAATGCAGTCTTATACTAGAATCAAGGTTCAAAAGCCAAAAGGCTTAATTACAGAATTTCATACAGTAATTCAGTACTACTAGAAATTCAGAACGAACGGTTTTACAAAATTAAGAAGGAGAACCAAGAATATTAAGAACTATCATTGAAGTAAATCACATACGGTAGACCAATGCCAGTAAATGACCGAACGTGAAGAAAAAGGGAAATACTATTACAGTTAGACGAACGTTATTTTTTTTTCAAGGTTGATCACACAATAATACGAGCGCTAGGTATAAGACCGAGCACTACTTAGGACGAACGCTAGGTAGATGACCGAGCATTAATTAGGACGAACGCTTGGTATAAGACCGAGCGCTACTTATGACGAACGCTTGGTAGATGACCGAGCGTTACTAATTTTAAAGTATAAAGGTATAATGTATTATTACTTAATTTTAGATATACGGGTATAATGTATTATTACTTAATTTTAGATATACGGGTACCACTAGGCTGAGCCGATCGCTCAAACCTAGTATTTCACAGGACGTTCGTTCTCGATCAGAATTCTTTCCAAATGAAATAATTCCTTTTTAGGCATTTTACTAGAAAACCGAACGGTATAAGACCATACGATGACGAACGTATATTATCATAGTGAGGATTTCATATTTCAGATTTTCATCTATTTCAAATCTCAAGTTTCAACATATCATTTCATACTTTATAACTTCATCTCAATATCAATTTACAAACTTTATATGATTCACATTAATCATTCATACTTATCAACCATCAGCATACATATCAACCAACGCATACCATATTCATTCATTATAACAGCGATCGTTCATACATAATCAATCAGCATTTATCTCATACATTCAGTCAATATCGGACGTTCATAAAACATACAGTATCAATTAAATCAAATAAGCTTTCCTTACCCGGATTTGAGACTGAATCGTTCTATACATAAGAAGTGTGGCTCGACCAGCTAACGTTTTCCCCCTTAACAGCCACTTAACTCTTCCAATCAAATCTATCTACAAGAAAGTTGAGGTACTTAGACTACACACTAGCATGCAGCCAAAACTTAGTTTTTTTTTCCAGGAAACCTAAGAACGAACTACTAAGGGAGAAACTTACCAGTTTCAGCTTTTGAAACTGTTCGGTCCAACTTGTAGCTCACAGCTCAGAGAACGCTCCTACGGTTTCTGAAAGTTGATCGGAGAAGAGGGTGGTGAGTTACAATAGAGAGAAGATGGGATTGTTCTAGAGAGAAGAAGGAGAATTCGAAAGATCAGGGTCTTTGGAGAAGATGAGTGCATGCAGAGAGTGACGCGGACTTCAGAAAAATCAGTTTTGTTTAAAAACCAACGTCCATTCTCCTGCTGACACCTGCATCCCACTTACTGATTTTCGAACCTTCCATACTCGACACCTGGCATTAGCGCAGAGGGGTTTGGGTGCGTTTTAATTACTCTGAGCAAGTGACGTGGGGTGTATTAATTATGATTTGACAGATGGTTTGCAGTGTTAAATTTCCAAGGTCTTACAAAATGCACGAGAGGAATAAATAAACATAAAATATGAAAAATTCCAAATAATAATAAAATCAAATAAACATGTTATCTATCTTCATCAATATATTAATTATGTGATGAAAAACTACAAAAATAATGAAAACCTATTTTATGTAATGAAAATAATATAACCTTCCCTACACATGGAGAAAAAAAATAAATAAAGAAGATAATATAAACTTATTTTTGTGAGTTAAATATTAATAAAAAAATAAAAAAGTTAAAATATTGGAACTAGCCACTAACATTTAAAAAATTCTACTCAAAGTATTGTATGAAAAACATAATTACTTAAATTCCAACATTCAATTATAAATCAAGAAAAAATATCATTGATTTAATAAATCAAATTTTGTACTCTCATGTTTAAACTCATTACATATTGGATAGTAAGATTTTTTTTATGTTGAGAAAATACCCAAAAGGCTCCAACAAATATCTATGTCTATAGACAGAAAATGGAATTGTTCATTATGAGGGTAGGAATCATAGAAGAGCATGTCATTACGATAGTTAGGTTCTTAAGTGGTTTGAATGTTGAAATAAGAAATAGAGTTAAGCTTCTACATTGTAGAGATTTAAATGATTTTGTTCAAATATGCATAAAGGTAGAACAATAATACTTGAGAAAATCTTTTTCAAAATGATATCAAGATCACTTTACTTCCTATGTTAAAAAGGATTTTAAAAGAGAAGAAAAGAGAGAAGAGTGATGAGTCCATGACTCACCATGAAACCTTAGAGGACCTTTCAAGAAGAGTGACACCTATCATTTTTGTCTTTATTTTTCATTTCTTTTTGTTGACTATTTCTTGTATTAATTTAAGTTAGGTTGACTTGTTGACTTAAGCTGACTTATTGACCATTAAGCATGTTGTTTGTTTTGTAGGTTAAGCTAATGCTAACTTGGAGGGGAATAATACTACATGGAGAGGAGGAGAGACTCATCCTTGGAGCCAATCACACCTAGGCACATATAGAGAAGCATGAGGAGTTGACCTTTTCTTCAAGAAGGTCAAGGGTGCACATGAGAGGCTTGAAGGCCAAGCTAGGGTCTTCTCATTCAAGACACCTCCTTTAGACCTAGTTTATAAAACCTTAGTTTGTCTTTTTACTTGTACACCCTTTGTATTTGTACTTTTTCTAAGAGACCCTTCACCCTCAACTATATAAGGGGTTCTTCAAGACTTTTGAAAGAGTTGAATATTTGGAAGTTAATACACTTACATTTGACCACCTTTGTGAGAGAGCTCTTCTTAGAGTGTCTTCTTCCTCCAGCCTTATTTTGAGACTAGAACTGGCAGCATCCCCATTTACCTTGGGTTTGTGAGCCTTAGCACCCCCCCTAAGTGGTATGCTACCCTAACATCCCCTCCCTTTTCATGTCTTTCTTCTTTTACTTCATCTTTTCTCCATTTTAGTCACTTATGTTTACTATTCTATGCTCCATTAGTGTCTTGTTTTTAGTTTCTTATAATTGTCATTCTTTTCTTCTCTTGAACTCTTGGAAGTGCACCTTCACATTAAAATAACTTGGTTATCTTAATGTCCAATGGGAATCTTCCTAGAGTTTTCTTAATCACCATAACATCATACTTTTGCTAATTCTAAAATGGGTCTTTATCTAAGAGCCATCTAAGAATTTAGCCAAGGGAAAGAGAATGAAGGGATTAAATCGTCCCACACTTGCATCATCACACACTTGTATCCTCAACAATAGTAAATACAGGTTCAAATCCTACCTCTAACCATAATAGGACGAATCGGTAAAACACCACGAGTACAATGATAAGCATCAGTGACCTATCACACCACAACAACTTGAGCGTGATGGAAGGAATGTGACCCACTACACCACCATTCACTGCAATGACGAACTAGCGACAATAAATACCCACCACACCAACAATGCACTACATGACCAACCAACAACGACAAAGATGAACCAAAGCTTGACCCATCATAACAAGAACTTCATTGAACACCATGAAAACCTTACAAACTTCATTGGTTGACATGTTGGCTTTGACTATCTTGCCTTATCCAAAACCTTACAAACTTCATTAACGTAATGAATATGTGGACTTAACAATGAACCAACAAGTAAAGATAAAGTTTTTCATAAGCAAATATAAGGATAATATGTTTTGTGATGTAGTACCTTTGGAAGTTTGTCACATCTTATTGGGGAAGCCTTAACAATTTGATAAGAAAACCATGCTTAATGGCTTCACCACCGATATCATCTTCACTCACAATAAGAAAAAGTTTCCACTTCATCCTTTAACACCATCTCAATGGTAAATGATAAAGTATAAATGGAAAACAAAAAATATGAGGAGAAAAGAAAAGAAAAAGAAGAAAAAGAAAATTTTACCTATAGGCATACTAGTAAAACAACATGTTCCAAATGTTTAGGTACAAGACACAAGACTTCTGAATGCCCTAGCTAATGAGTTATAATCCTAAGGGGCAAAGACTTGTGTGTCAATCAAGGTTAATCTTAATTCTTCCTTTAAAGAAGAAAACCAAGACCAAAATAAATCTTGTGTTAAAAAAGGAAATCTCTTCAAGATTACATGGATTCAACATAAGACGAACAAGGAACTAAATGAAAATAATCTTAAAAATAAATATCTTTATCATTTACTTGATAAGAGGTGTATGAACATTAGGAGCTACATTGTTTAGATGTTTGTTAACATAACACTTACTTTGTTTGGTGTTTCTTGTAGGATGGTCTTTGATATTGAAGGAGGAAGACACAACATAACCAATAAAAATGGTTGTTGTCATGGAGAAACAAGCAAATATGAGGATAGATCAT